TTATTTACAAAATCTTTGTTTTTGTTTTTCCTTCTTTTCTGATTTTTTTCTTTTATCTTTGTTCCTTTGTCTCTACCCTCCCGAGTGTCTTGCCCCATTTGAAAGTTTTCTTCCTATTTCACAATATCTATTATACGTTTTGGTCCTTATTTACACTTTTGCTTTCTTGCACCAGAGAAACCATGCAGTGTTTACACACGTGGGTCCATTTATGTCACTTAAGAGTATGGTCTCCAGGTGCATCCATTTAGGTAGACATGTCTCAAGCTCACCCTTCTTTATGGTAGAGTAGTACTCCAGTGTATATATTAAAAAAAAAAACCTTTTTTATCCATTCTTCAGTCTTTGGGCATTCAGGTTGTTTCCAAGATTTAGCTATCACAAACTGTGCCACTATAAATATGAGTGTGCATATATCACTGTGGTATGATGTCTCTAGTTCTTTTGGGAAAACACCAAGAAGGGGAAGATCTGGAAAGAATGGAATCTCTAGTCCTAGTTTTTGAGGCATCTCTGCACTAATTTCCACAATGGTCACATCAGTCTACACTCCCGGAAACAGTGGACAAGGGTTCCTTCCCTTCCACCCAGTCCCACCAGCATTTGCTATTGGTTGATTTCTTGATGGTAGCCATTATTTCTGGGGTGAGATGGAAACTCAAGGTTGTTTTTATTTGCATTTCTCGAATGATCAATGCTGTTGAACATTTTTTCATATATCTATTTACTATTCTTTCCTCATCAACTTAGAAATGTCCATTCTTGGCTGGGGATTTAGCTCAGCGGCAAAAGCGCCTGCCTGGCAAGCGCAAGGTCGTGAGTTCAGTTCCCGGTACCGGAGAAAAACCAAAAACCCCGTTACTTCCAAGCTTTTATTAGTTCAAAAGCACATTGGCATCAAACAAAAAAAAAAAAAAAAAAAAAAAAAGAAATGTCCATTCATTTCAGAAGCCATTTTAGGGGCTGGGTCTTTAAGATTGAGATCTGGTTTTCTTCAGTTCATTATACATTCTAGATAATAGACTTTTGTCTGAGGAACAGTTGCCAAAAATTTTTTCCTACCAAAAGTTTCAAGAATTCTACCTATTCTATCTTGTAGCCACTTTAGTGTTTCTGTTTTACCATTTAGATCTTTGATCCATTTTGATTTTGGTTTAGTGCATGGTGAAAGATATGGATCTAATTTTCATCTTTGGCATGTACACAGCCAAGTTTTCCAACACCATTTACTAAAGAGGCTGTCTTTCTTCAGGTGATGGCATTTGGCTCTTTTGTCAAAGATAAGGTAGCTGAGTATGTCTTGAACTGTTTCTACATCTCCTAATCTGTTCCACTGATCATCAGGTACTGTTTTGCCAGTACCATGCTGTTTTTATTGCAGTAGCTTTGTAGTATAATTTAAAGTTAGGTATTATGGTGCTCCCTGTCTTGCCTTTGTTGCATAGAATTGCCTTTACTATTCTAGAGCTCTCCTGGGTCCAAATCAATTTTAAGATTATTTTCTCTTTCTCTGAATTTTGTTTCTTTAACAAAAAGCACTAGAAAAATTAAATTCTATCACTTAAAATTGTTTTGGTTTATTAAGGAACACATTAAGAGAATGAAAGATGAGCTACAGACCAGGAGAAAATATTTGTAAACACATTGTTCACAAAGCATTAGGTTGTAGTACAAATAACACTCTGGAAATGCAACACCCTACAAACACACCTATTAGGGCAAAAGAGAGAGGACATCTCCCAAAGAGGACATGCAGGTGGTAAATAAACACAGGTACAGCAGGCAAGTAAGGTGAAACCCAGAGTAAGAGGAGCCGATTTGATTGATAAGGGCACAACAATCCCTTTGTGGATTTTGCCACCTTACTATATGTACAAACATTAAAAGAAGAAACAGACAGACACCACCTCCTCGCTATCCTTCCTACAAACACCTGAGACATGCACTGAGACAAAAGACTGACTATTGCAGTGTGGAGGGACCTGTTGTAGAGGGCAGCTGTGTGGCTGTATGCACTGTAGCCATTCCCTGAGATTATGCCTATCAGGACTGTGGACGAAGACCTGTCTCATGACCATCTCCCGAGGAACTTAGGGGAACAAGTAGGACACGGACTCATAACAGCACCTCCTAAGTCTCCGTTCTGTGCTGTGGCAGGAACAGATTAGCTGTAGTTCAAGCCCCAATCTGTGGGCTACACAGACACATCAAAAATACCCATAGGCCAAATGTGGTTGTGTTATCAGGTGGCTCCTTTAGAAATGGCTCCCCAGTTAAATGTGTTGCAGGTCCTTGTTGCCTCAAATAAAGAACTGCATGAGACAAGACAAAAATGGTGCCAAAATTTATTTGAAAAGTGAGGGGTGATGGGTGGAGGGAAAAACTGGCTCTGCAGAGTAGACTCGAGTCAAACAGAAGAAGAAAAGAGCAGAAGAGCAAAAGTAAAACTACACCCTGGGCTACCACGAAGAGTCAGGAGAGAAGGCTCCTTGTGGGGTCTGTGTCCTTGTATGTCACCTGCCTCTCCTAGCAGCTTATCAGAAGTTCCATGTGCAGGGTCCTGGGAATCATCTGGCACTGTCCTGGGATCATATAAATAACAAGTCCCATTTATTTCCCCCACCATCTTTGCCACACCCTACCCCCAACCTCAGTTGTGCTTCTCTGATTCCAGCACTCTGAGAGAGTGAATCTGGGGGTTTGACCGTTTCTGCCCAGTGTGGATGAGTTAGCAAGCTCCTGTTTCAAAGATAAAAATAAAAGCCTGGATAGGCACAGTGCTATACCCAGTACCCCCAAATTTAATAGAAATTAAGACCAGCTCCCCAAAAGCAGCATTTTATAGGTGCAAACTCCTGGACTATATATCGCTGTGTGTAAACAATCTAAAGAAAAAGAGAAAAACTGAAAATATCACATCCTGAAGATTTCCTGAAATGGAAATGTGAGGTTCATGGGGAGAAATGCAGACTATAAAATAGTATGAACATTGTGGTCACATTTTAATAAGCACGCACAATATGTGTACATACATGCTTGAAATGTGCATAGATGCGTATAATCATTGGAAGCATGGGCGCAGCAGGTCTTCATCCGGTCAGTGGTAGTTTCTCAGGGCAGAGGGGAGAGCTTTGTTAAGTTTCATTTTCAGCCTGCACTGACTCCGCAGTGTTCATCCAGGCACCGGCCTTCAGCTGCTTCTCACCAGACATGACTGGGCAGTCTCCCCAGTGCTGGGTAGAGGCAGCAGTGCTGTCCAGCAGGGACCTCAGGACATCCTTGAGTGTCACCCACCTCTGATCTGGCCTACTGACAGCGTCCTCGCTCCAAAGACGGGGAGGGAGCTAAAGCAAGGAGGTTGAGGTCATCCAAATAATGAAAGGGAAACCTAGTGCCAAGGGTAAGTAGCAGGGCAGAAAATCAGCCCGCAGTTTCGTTTTCAGTAATGCCAGCAGTCTCTCTGTTACCATTAGGGCCCGCTCAGCAGGCACCTCCCAAGCTACTGCAGAGTGGCTTCTGAGGCACCTTCCTGGGCGGTACAGGCTCTCAGCAGCAAGGGCTGAGGTTGGGGATATAGCTCAGAGGCACAGCGCCCACCTGGCAAGAGCCAGCTCCTGAGTTCAATTTCAAGGGG